ACTTGAGTTTTAAAGAGTGGCATACACTCAAGACCAAACATGATCTTTAAAGCAAGTTGGTGAAGAATTTTCCTGCCACGGCCTCAAGTGTCCCACGTGAGAAAGGTTTTTCCCAGAGGACCTGCCTCTAATGGTACCTGGTGGTGGAGAGGGGGTGCCCTCAGGGTGAAGGAAGGGCTGGTTGGTCAGGATCTCTTCAGTTCTTGCTCCCAGGCCTGCCACCCTGGCTCCCACCAGCCTGAGGACAGAGGTCATTCTATCTTTATTCACAAAGTTGACAAATGATGCATTGAGTGCCTATTCTGAGCCAGACCCCATTCCTGGGGTACTGGGGAATCAGATGAAAAGACAGATAAGCCCCATGCCCTCAGCAAGCTTAACTTCCTGGTAGAAGAGATGGACAAGAGACATGTGAACACAGTAAGTTCAGGGACCCATACCGTGCTGGGGAAGAAATAAAATGGATGCGAGAAAGGACTGGGAGGGGGACCACTTTGGTCTGGGTGGTCAGAGAAGACCTCTGAGGAGGTGACAAAGTGAACTAAAACTTCAGTGGCCAGGAAAGCAGCATCAGACCACGCGGGGCCCTGGAGGCCGAGGGGAAGAGTTTGGGGTTCACACTTTAAGCAGGAGAGCGAAGTGATTTGACTTCTGTTGCCCTGACAGCTCTGTGGAGAACAACCAACAATCGGAGGTGAGAGTGGACGTAGGGAGTTTTGATCCGAGGCTGTGGCTGAAATCACCAAGGAAGCAACTATGGAGCCTTTGCCCAGGAGCAAAGCAGTAGAGTCTGGGGTGTCTATTTGTACAGGCTAGGATGAGGGAGGGTGTTCTCTAGCCGTCCCCTTGGACCTCCCCCTTATCAGCCATTCCTGATTCCGGTCATCTTCTCCATCAGCTTCTCCACTGTCTAATCTGAGGGCAGTCTCCTTGGGGTTTATCACCTCACCTTTGAGCCCCTCTCTTCCTGGACTATCAGGAAGTTCTTCCTGGTGTCTTCCCTTTCCCTTCTTGCTATAATCTATTCTTGAGAGAGGGACAAACCTGGGCAAAGACTCTGGAGTCAGGGGAGGTACTCAGCTGTAGACCCACCTGAAGGAGTTGGTGAGACCAGGATAAGAACTGGAAATCAACCCAGATGTCCAGGTTGGAGGCCATGGATGAGCTACTGTTCTACTTTAGTTTTGCTGCCTAATTTCCAAACCCAGCTCCACCCCCACTGCACCCTGGGGATGCTCCTCCAGAACTTCCAAGCCTGGGAGCCCTTCTCTCTTCTAGCTGCACATCAAAGGGATGAGGCCCCTGACCTCCCAGTGTCCCCAGCCTCTTCCTCTCCTTTGTCAGCCCTTTTTTTTTTTTTACCTGTTCGAACCACCCTCTTTTCTCCATTCCATCTCTTTTCCTGGGATCTAAATTTCTAGATTTCACCTTGGAGGTTGTATAAAATGCAGATTCCATCCCAGATTCAGAATCTCCCCTGCGATCCCAAGTCCACAGGAACTCACTCCTTGTCATGCCTGCCCATCCCAGATGTGACTGCTGTTGCTTTGAGAGCTTTGTAAACTCTGAGGGGCAGGGCTGTCTTCACTTCAGAAAAATGGAGGGAATAAAGACAAAGCATCTAGGAAAAGACTGGAATCTGCTCAGACAGGTTCTCAGAATCTGCAGCCTCTCCCTTCCAGGGTCTTACTGGAGCCAGTGATGGAGGGCACTAGGACCTGGTGTGGAGTTGCCTTTATTCCTAAGAAGGCTGTTTTATTTTTGGGGTGGGTGCTAAGCTGCTGGGCTGCTTTAATGGTATCTCCCAGGGGCTGCCATCCAGGGCCCCACCCTCCCTCCCACTCTAGACTCACCTTTGACCTCTCTTCGCAGCTCAGGTACCAGATAGTGATGAACAGTTTGTTCCTGATTTCCATTCAGAAAACTGTGAGTAGAGAGGGCCCTGGGTAGAGGGAACGGGGAGTGGGGAAGGGCAGGAAATGAGTCACAGGGACAGAGAATCACAAAAGATCAACTTGTTCTCTCCTAAAGAAAGGGGTGAAGGGCAGGGCTCCCCATTCTTGGGTTTGGACTCAAAGACCTTGGGGGCTTCTCCATCCTAGCTGGGTGACCTTGGAGCAGACACTTCATCTCTCTGACCCTCCATTTCCTTATTGCTGAAATGGGCAGGCGTGGACCAAGTCAGCAGGGTCCAGTTCTAAGTTACTTCCATGCAACTTGGGAGCTATTTTGTACACACACACACACACACACACCGCCAAACCCATTAGCAATGTCTGTAGACATTTTTGGTTGCCACAACTGGAGCTAGATGCTCCCGGCCCCTGGTGGGGAGTGTCGTGGATGCTACTAATACCCTACAATGCTCAGGATAGCCCCCCATCAAAACATTCTCTGGCCCAAATGTCAGCAGTGCCGCTGTTGAGAAACCCTGCTTTAATTTAATGCCAGGCACTTTGCTCTCCACCGTCTTCCCCAACAACATGGAACGGGGCACACATAATCGGAAACAGCAGGTAACAGGTGGGCTGATGGTAGGCATTTGACCCGGCTGCAGTAAGACAGAACCGCACACTCTGCCAGCTCGGTCCCAGCTCTGTGCTTCTCCGCCCGGTGGCTGCAGTTTGTGGACGCAGCAGGGGCTACAGGAAAGGCCAATGTTCTCCACAGATAATGAGGAGCGTGTGTATCATGTTCGTCAGCTGACATGCGAGTGGCTAATATCCAACCTCCATCAGAAAAGAAAGATTCTTTACAGCCCTAAATAGGAAAACATCTCTCTCCCTTGGAATTTTCCAGGGCGCTTGGGAAAACCACAGGCCCTCGGTTGAAAGTGCTCGCCCCTACAAAGGTGTTTTGCCCAGCGGGGTGGGGGGGGGGGGGGGGGGGGAGAGGTTGCATTAAATGTTGAACTCGAGACCATTTCTTTGGTTAATATTAGACACTTTCCTGATGTAGAAAACTAGACATAATGTAAGTAGCCAAACTGCTTAAAAGTGTGTGACTATGACGCTCTGAAAACTGAGACCCAGAGGAGGGATGAGGCCGTGCGGGTCACGCAGCCGGTCCTCAGAGAGCAGGTATAGGAAGCTCTTACTGCCTCATCTGAGACACTCTCTGCCCTGCTCTGCCCCCCGCCCCCCACAGTAGCTTTCCACAGCCCCACCACCAGGATCAAGGAGGAGCCCCAGAGTCCCCGGACAGACCCGGCCTTGTCCTGCAGCAGGAAGCCGCCACTCCCCTACCACCATGGCGAGCAGT